TCTATCTCATCTAATGATCATCTTTTTTTAGACCAAAGGAGCCTCTAGGCCCCCATTTTCGAGCATTGAAGGTCGGACGGACAGACCCCCGTGTTTCTCCCGCATCGGGCGACTCGGGCAGGCCGCTACCTTAGCCGCCACCGAGCCCTGATCTACTCCCTCCCCTTCTCCCGTTGCTGCCGCGTGACGCTGCCAGGCTAAGCCCGGGGGCAGATGGCAGTGGTGGGGGTCTCTCATCTCCCATGACTTGGGATGGGGCGCGGCCCCGGCGTGTGGAGGCACGGCTGGTCGGGTCTTGCGGCACAGTGGCCGGCGGCATGGAGGGCATGGTCGATGGATCTGTTGTATGTGTGGTCTGGCTTCCGGTCAGATCTGATCTACCTGGTGCAGCCTGCTCCATGCGCGACGGTGGTGATCGATGGCGGTCCTGTGCACACGAGGCTGGATGGAGGTCCCTCGAGCGGATCCGGGTGAACCCTGCTCTTGGCTCATTGCCAAGGCCGGTGATGGTGGCCTTTTCTGTATTGTCCCCTTCTTGAAGGCATCGTCATGGAGAAGCTCTAGACCCCTATCCGCCACCTTCGGGGGAAACCCTAGACCGATTTATCATATATCGGCGTCGCTCTTGTGCCGTATCCCTCTTCGGGGCGTAATTCTTGGAGGTATGCGTAGGTTTGAGGGATCAGTGGACGAGATCTGCGGTGGAGCGGTGTTCCATGTGACGCATTGACGGCGTGGAGTCTTAGCGGCGTGGCATGGCAGGGCCTTAGCGATAGATGTGTGATGGTGGACGTGTGTAGGGAGGAGGTGTTGTCTGGCACCATAGTGGCGTCGACAGCAGGCCTGGCAAGGTTGACGTGTCAGCATTTGCTCTGAAGATGGATCAATAGAAGACGGTGGCAACGACCTATGAGAGTGAGTGGGACCGGTTTGTGCTCCAGACCTGGAAGGTCGCTTGGTTGGGGGCTCCGGCTTTAGATGTTAGGCTTAGGTGAGAGGTCTGGGTATTCGGCTCACACTTTCTGCAGCCCTTCATCAATGGATAGGAATAGCGACAGATGTTGCCAAGATGGCGGCTTCAGACATATTGATGCATTACTTTGTAATGTCTTTGTGAATAATTAATAAAGTGGTTGCATGCATCTTCCAGATGCAGAGGCCGGGGGTCATCCTCCTTTTCAAAAAAAAGCCCCCATTTTCAATTAAGAAAACAGAGTAGGAGCAAAACCAGCCATACACCCCCAAGGCACACAACTGCCTACATCAGGGGTGCTAATCTAGAAGAAAAAGAGACTTAACTAGGGGAGATACAACCCCCTCTCACACCCAGCAACTACATGCTACAGGAGCATCAAACACTACAGGAGCACCCAGCAACTCCACTCATGTAACGGCTATCCTGTCTATCTCATCTAATGATAATAAACCCAAATGCTTATATGGTTTTCCCAGGAAGCAAGCAACCATGACGCTTTGGGGAAAATTTGCAGAAACATTTGATGCTGACACATTGCGGAATCGATCAAATAAGGAACCAGTTTTCGTTCTCTTTCTTGGGGTAATGGTCGACCAGTATGCAGGTACTGACATACTGTTGTTTATTACATGGTTGAAACCTATTTCATGATTTGAGACTAATTGATTTATTGTACACCACAGGTACTATAGCTTTCAAGAACACTTCATCGATAGAGTGACACATTAATGTTGCAATCCCCGAGATGAAAGGCTGAAAGCTATACTAGAAAGGTATTTTGCATGATGCAAATCATGTTATCATTATTTTGTTGTGCTTAGTGAGTGTACTTCCAATCAATATGACTTTATAGGATTGGTGCAAGGTTTTAGCAAACCGAATTGCGGGACACAGCAGAAGCCAGCATCAGGCAAGTGAATGAGCTATTGAGGATTTAGCTGCTATAGAACCAACCAATATCATGGTATTAGACTGTTTATTTATCTGCATGCTTATTTCCAAACTATTCAGTATTCCCGCAAAATTTAGTACTATTGCTACCATAAACAAATTTCAAATCACATTAGTAGACATCTTCTTTGACAGTTTGAAGTCAATGCCTATAAATTTAGCTATTCCCTCTGATCCATATTAGTTGTCGCTCAAACATATCATGGAAAATAAACAATTGAACACGGCATAATTTATGCAGGTGCAAATTATCAGTTCATGCGATTGACTTGGACCCCAACGAAGAGGATAATCCAGCATTTGCAGAATTTGCTTTACTTGGAGATCAGGGCGATATCGCCATTAGAAAGGAGGCAGACCATGCTGTTGCCCATTCAGCAGGACGAGCTGGATATGTGCTGGCTCAAATATTGAACCTTCCTGGCAAGAAATCTATCATAACCATCACTCCAAACAGCAGATCGCTGGACGCCGAGTTCCACTATTTTCAAGTACAATCAACAGAACATATACAAAATAGAGCACTGTTGGACACTGACTAGCAAGTCATCGACAGAGGATGTGGGCAGTCATCTTCTTACACCCCACCGCCACATGAACTGCTTGGAAGCGGTTCACATCCATGCGGCCTCGTCGTCTGTCGATCAGATTCAGCACAAAGATGCATCAGCCAATCCGGACAGAACAAGGTACAAAATATTAGACCATGCATATGTATAGCTTTCTTACACAAAACTATGACAGCAATTGAATAATTAGTAACATCATATGTGTTTACAGATTATTTCCAGCCACCGGATCCTGCTGTTGCAAGACAGAAAATGGCAGCAGAAGGCGGCCCATCAGCTGGAATCAAACCAAAGTGGAGGTTATTCTAAAACTGGTTATAGCAAGCTAACACTTGCTGCACTGTATTTTCAAGAAACGACGAGAAGATGAGTTACACATTTCCTTATCATGTTATGATATATATTATTTGCGTATTTGTTCCCCATCCCTACTAATTTGATTTATGTTGATTTGTTTCCGCGGTTTAGGATGAATGCCCAGGGGCCATCTTCTTTCCTTAAGGTGTAGGCTGTATTCCTGCCAGCTATAGTTGCTTTTAGATTATTGTAAACTTAAGGAAGATATGATATACTGAACGGCATCAAGTAAGATTTGCTTCCATTTTTAAGTTGTAGTAATTTATGCAAAGTTCCTTCCAGTAATTAGAATTACATTTCCTCTTATGTTGAATTGCATTATTGGGTACACTATATATCACTTCATGCCATAATTTCTGCTTGTCAGCACAAACTAGCTGCAGCTAGCACTCTTTTAAAAAAATCCGGCTAAATTTGACACTCCTGGTTTCTTTGCAGTTATGTTAATAAACTGAACACTGTTGTAGGATTTCAGAGTCTGATAAGAACAAAATCTGATGCATGTGATGATATATCAGGAAAGAGACATGCATGGTAGAAGTTGTGAGAAATTTCATTTTTCAGGGAGATGTTTACCCTATAGTAGGACTTCTTATGAGTATTTTCTTACTGTGCCAATCATGTCGAGGAACCGGTGTTATCTCTGCTAGATGAACCAAATATGAACTTAAGTTCTGTTGAACATTATAGTTCTAAAGGGATTCAGAATTCGACAAAGTACTATTTGTCATGATCTTCTTAGTAGTTTTTTTCATTTGTAGTTCTAAAGGGATAGGGATTCATGTTGTGGTTTTGTTAAGATTTTGGGGGGCCTAGTTTTAGCAATAATCTCCCATTTGTTTAGGGTCATTCGGTATGCCGATCCCGAACCCTAGCCTCGTTCTCGATTGGTCGTGGCTATGGCATGTCAACTAAGATGATGGATGTTACTGTTGAGCACACTAAAACAACATATATTTCAGTGACAAGGTTCATTTTTAATATATAGAATTCCACAGTTAAATTGTCACCGTTCGGGCAAAGGGGAATCATTGCACCCGAGCCGCGTGATCCCGATGAAGGGTACGATTTGGGATTCATGAGGATTCAGTGTAGACCCCGACCCCGATGAGGGGTAGGATTTGGGATTCTTGATTCTTCTCTGTAGGCTCATTGAGGAGTGGACGCAAATGTTGATGGTGCTCTGGACAAGCGCTTGTGTTGTGGTCGCAGAGGTGCTATCATGCGTGATCACCATGGCAAGTTCCTTGTCGGGGCTTGTCATTTTTTCCCTACCACTAGCTCCCCCGAGCTGGCCGAACTATTAGTGTATTTCACTCTTCTTTCAAAATCAATGTAGGCGGCAGTTTTGCCAATGCACTCAACTGCAGCGATGCACGGTTGTAATCGGCAGACGAAGGAAGTCACTTGTCGCTTTGGCTCAGGACATAGGCATAAGGAAGCCTGTTACTGCATGTGACTGCAAGCCGGAGGTGCAAGACATCAGCAGACTCACTCGAGTAACAAAGCATGATTTCACTCGACAACACAAGGAAACACTACACGACATTGTGGAGAAATACGGTAAATTTCTAATAAGTTCAAGACTTCCAAGGAAGTCAACAGGAAGGAAATGCACTAAAAAAGAAAAGATATACTTTGATATAAGAAAATTGGAACCTTGATGTGCACATTCTCAAACTTGAGTAACAGGTGAGTTTCAAAATTTCAGGCCAGGCACTTCCTGCTTATGTTGGAATGCTTATAATCTTAAGCCATATGATTTCGCTAATAGCTTAGCTCTGCACAGAGCAAAGTTGGCGCTGCACATAGCAGCCCAGTGTACATAAATCAGGGCCAACAAAGCGCACCTGGAGAAACCCAACACCACTCAGAAACAGTAGCTCCATAGGGACAGACATAAGTTAACGGCAAACAAGTGCAAGAAACCATTACAGCAAACAACTACGCTTGCACAAATCTACATAAAGCCATAATCACGAGGTTATCCGCGACGCAATGCGGGTCAAGACACAGACGCAACAAGCCATTATTCCCATATGGTTATCTGCTCTTGCAAGTCAGGCAGTTAACACAAAGAGAGTGCTGAACTACGAGTTCACATGCATCAGCAGTAATAAGCGAAGCAGTGGATGGCTGCTACCCCCTCACATTCTCCGAATGGCAATCCCTTTTAAGACCAAAGGGCCAACGATAAAAGGCATACCCAGCACGTATACCACATTAAGCAGCTTAGCTAGCCTTTCAGTCCACACAACCTCACGGCTGCCAAAAAGAACAAGGAATTGAGGCATTACATATCATATTCAACCTTTTGAGCAGTAATATCAAAATGAAAGTTGTTGAAGCTTATACCTGTAGTTTTTTAACTCTCTTGTCACACTGTCATAACGTTCTCGCTGAAGCAGGTACCAGTCTCTAGCGCTCTACAATTTTAACAACAAAGTAAGAGAAAGCTGAGAAGGCAATATCCGGTGCAAGAGTTAGCCTTGTTATCCTTACATGTCCTGTAAGGATACAGCGGAACAAAAATATCATGAGGCAAGAGTATTTGCAGCACCATAAGCTCTTGAAATCATTACACATGATTAATACACATATTTGCCAAGCATTAATGACTGCTAGTACCCTAATTTCAGAGCTTACAAAACTTGCACGTATAATTTGCCATCATCCCAAAATCAAGTGGTCAATCCTCTGATTAACGCTTTTAAGTCAGAACAAATACCTATGTGTCTCTTGTGCAAATCCATGAATAACTAAAATATATGAGAAAGTCATGCTGGTAGTTGACAAATTCTGAGCACCAGCCTCATGCAAGGTAAACGATCAACGTTTTCATGACAATACAAATGGTTTTCATGTTAAAATGTGCTGTAAAATCCCGTCAATCTCGTGCAGAGGGAAAAGGGGGAAATTTTCATGACAATACAAATTGTTGTCAAGTTAGAATTATCTATAACAGCCACATCTCTTTAAAAATACTGCTAACAAGGATAGTCACTAAACAACTTGCATGTGCATCTATGCATAATTTGTAACAGTGAAAGCATGGCGACCACGAAAACCATGCGTTTGTAAAGGGCAAGACCACCAATTCAGATGAACAAGTGCATAGAAGGTAAGAAGCATGTAGCAAATATCAACTGCAATGGGAGATTACTGACAAGCCTCCTACAGTTGACAGCATCCCTTTCTTCTTGCAAATAGGCTCATGGACGGGGGAGCTAAAGTACAGACATAATCCCTCCAGCCCGGTTTATACGTACTATTAATCTTGTCTCAAGTTGACCAAGTTTATACAAAAAAATCAATACACACATTACCCAATAAATATATTATGAACAAATATGCAATTGATGATAAACCTAGTTGAATGGTTTGGTAGTGCAAAATCATATTCAAAATCATAGATTCACCCCTTAAAAAGGATTAATTTGCATTCAAAATTCATTAGCTAGCAATGCAGGTATGCGGCCTTTGCACCAAGGGCGTGCCTTTGGAAACTATGTAACACCAATACAGTTTATAAACTGCTCAACGAAACAAGTAGCAACGCAGCAACAAGAGTTGGTCACGGCGAAGGGTCTAGATCCGGAGCCGAGGAAACCAAAGAAATTATTGGTCTATTTCGTCGATTTGCAGGCATACATGATCATCACACGCAGGGGGAAGCTCTAGCACTGCCTACTCCAGCCAGTGGTTTGCCTGAGTGAGCGCGGTGTGCAGGGGGAGAAGGGGCATACCTTACTGGAGGAGGAGGAGAAAGGGAGGGCCCGACTGCCGGACGCCGGCGAAACACGAGGGGCCGACGGGAGCCGGGCGGCGGCGGCGGCGGCGGCGGCAGGGACTCGCATCCTCGCGGCCAGGCTGCATAGCGCCATGGTGAACCGGGGTGGGCGAGGATCGAGGCTAGGGTTTGGGGCTCGTCTTCTCTTCTCTTCTCGCTGGAGATGGAGGCTTCCCTCTTTCCCTTGCGGCTCTCATCCTCTAGTCACGCTGTCTCCTCCACAAAACGGGCCCCCTCGTGGGCCGGGCCGGGCTGAATCACACACGCCACATGGAGCCGAAAATCCGTGGACCAGCTGAACTCGCGAGCGTCAAAACGACTCTGACCCAAGCAAATGAAATGTTTTGCTAAAAATGCTAAATAAAAAATGAAATGAGAGATTATTATTGCAACTAGTGCGGTTCAATTTCGCACTGTAACCAGGAAGCAAATGAGGTTGCTCATAGTTTAGCGAAATTTGGATATGATAGCAATAGTTCTTGTAATTGGGCTGATGAACCCCCGGACTTCCTGGATAATGTTCTTGCAAACGATGTAACCTTTTTACCAAATCGATAAAACAAGCCATGATGACATTCCTGAAAAAAAGTCTTACATCTCCTATCTGCTTGCTATGGTGATCACGCATGATCGCACCACCGCCACCCCAACATAAGCGCTTGTCGGGAGAACCATTAGCATTTGCCTTCACCTATCCCGCCTCTGCCTTTTCCCATTGCTCGCCACTAGTTCCTCTACGTGTCCTTGACCCCCACGTTCTCATGAGTAGCTTGCCGCTCCTCGATGACCCTACAGAGTGCAACTCGGGTGTAGTGCTTCCTTTGCTCGGACAGTGACAATTTAACTGTGGAATTGTATATATTAAAAATGAACATTGTCACTATGAATATATGTTGTTTTATCATTCTCAATAGTAACCTCCGTCATCTTAGTGGACATGCCATAGCCACGACCAATTGAGGATGAGGCTAGGGTTTGCGATCAGCTTTTCTTTTGTTCTCTCTTTCAATGGAGCCTTCATCTTCTCGTTGCAGATACCCTCGTCTTATACGTCTTCCTAATCATGTTGTCTGCTCCACAAAACACAAGCCCTCGTTGGTTGTACTGGGCCGAGCTGGATCACCCATATCGCATGAAGACTAAATCTGTGACACTATCTCTATCCCAAAAATGTTACCAAAAGCACAAGGGAACCTACCATCATTGTGCCACCATAAATCATGCTGACAATGGATAACATCATTAAAAACAAAAAATGGAGTGTATGCATGGCTACATGTTTTTAGAATTGCTCTACAACTTCACTTGTATATTTTAGAGCATGGTCAAAGTAAAAAACACTTTAAACTCTTCGTTGCTCACTTATATATTTTGGAGAGTTGGAATTGCAATTGGTTTGTGAATTGATTTGCATATGGCATTGTTGGGGAACGTAGCAGAAATTCAAAATTTTCCTACGTGTCACCAAGATCTATCTATGGAGAGACCAGCAACGAGTAGAAAGGAGAGTGCATCTACATACCCTTGTAGATCGCTAAGCGGAAGCGTTCAAGTGAACGGGGTTGATGGAGTCGTACTCATCGTGATTCAGATCACCGATGATCCTAGTGCCGAACGGACGGCACCTCCGCGTTCAACACACGTACAGCTCGACGATGTCTCCCACGCCTTCATCCAGCAAGGAGAGAGGGAGAGGTTGAGGAAGACTCCATCCCGCAGCAGCACAACGGCGTGGTGGTGATGGAGGAGCGTGGAAATCCTGCAGGGCTTCGCCAAGCACCTACGGGAGAGGAGGAGGTGTCACGGGAGGGAGGGAGGCGCCAAGGGCTCAGGTATGGATGCCCTCCCTTCCCTCCACTATATATAGGGGCAGGGGAGAGGGGGGAGGCGCAGCCTTGCCCCTTACTCCAAGAAAGGGGTGCGGCTAAGGAAGGGGGAAGGAGTCCATCCTCCCCAAGGCACCTCGGAGGTGCCTTCCCCCTTTAGGACTCTCCCCTTTTTCCTTTATCTTGGCGCATGGGCCTCTAGGGGCTGGTGCCCTTGGCCCATGTAGGCCAAGGCGCACCCCCTACAGCCCATGTGGCCCCCGGGGCAGGTGGCCCCACCCGGTGGGCCCCCGGGACCCTTCCGGTGGTCCCGGTACAATACCGATGACCCCGAAACTTGTCCCGATGGCCGAAACAGGACTTCCTATATATAAATCTTTACCTCCGGACCATTCCGGAACTCCTCGTGACGTCCGGGATCTCATCCGGGACTCCGAACAACATTCGGTAACCACATACAAACTTCCTTTATAACCCTAGCGTCATCGAACCTTAAGTGTGTAGACCCTACGGGTTCGGGAGACATGTAGTCATGACCGAGATGTTCTCCGGTCAATAACCAACAGCAGGATCTGGATACCCATGTTGGCTCCCACATGTTCCACGATGATCTCATCGTATGAACCACGATGTCAAGGACTCAATCAATCCCGTATACAATTCCCTTTGTCTAGCGGTATGGTACTTGCCCGAGATTCGATCGTCGGTACCGATACCTTGTTCAATCTCGTTACTGGCAAGTCTCTTTACTCGTTCCGTAACACATCATCCCGTGATCAACCCCTTGGTCACATTGTGCACATTATGATGATGTCCTACCGAGTGGGCCCAGAGATACCTCTCCGTTTACACGGAGTGACAAAATCCCAATCTCGATTCGTGCCAACCCAACAGACACTTTCAGAGATACCCGTAGTGTACCTTTATAGCCAACCAGTTACGTTGTGACGTTTGGCACACCCAAAGTACTCCTACGGTATCCGGGAGTTGCACAATCTCATGGTCTAAGGAAATGATACTTGACATTAGAAAAGCTTTAGCATACGAACTACGATCTTGTGCTAGGCTTAGGATTGGGTCTTGTCCATCACATCATTCTCCTAATGATGTGATCCCGTTATCAACGACATCCAATGTCCATGGTCAGGAAACCGTAACCATCTATTGATTAACGAGCTAGTCAACTAGAGGCTTACTAGGGACATGGTGTTGTCTATGTATCCACACATGTATCTGAGTTTCCTATCAATACAATTCTAGCATGGATAATAAACGATTATCATGAACAAGGAAATATAATAATAATCAATTTATTATTGCCTCTAGGGCATATTTCCAACAGTCTCCCACTTGCACTAGAATCAATAATCTAGTTCACATCACCATGTGATTAACACTGACAGGTCACATCACCATGTGACTAACATCCAAAGAGTTTTGGGTTTGATCATGTTGCTTGTGAGAGAGGTTTTAGTCAACGGGTCTGAACCTTTCAGATCCGTGTGTGCTTTACAAATCTCTATGTCATCTCCTAGATGCAGCTACCACGCTCTATTTGGAGCTATTCCAAATAACTGTTCTACTTGGAGCTATTCTAAATTGTTGCTCTGTTATACGTATCCGGTATCTCTACTCAGAGCTATCCGGATAGGTGTTAAGCTTGCATCGACGTAACCCTTTACGACGAACTCTTTTACCACCTCCATAATTGAGAAAATTCCTTAGTCCACTAGTTACTAAGGATAACTTTGACCACTGTCCTGTGATCCATTCTTGGATCACTCTTGTACCCCTTGACTGACTCATGGTAAAGCACACTTCAGGTGCGGTACACAGCATAGCATATTGTAGAGCCTATGTCTTAAGCATAGGGGACGACCTTCGTTCCTTTCTCTCTATTCTGCCATGGTCGAGCTTTAAGTCTTAACTTCATACCTTACAACTCAGGCATGAACTCCTTCTTTGACTGATCCATCTTGAACACCTTCAAGATCACGTCAAGGCATGTGCTCATTTGAAAGTACTATTAAGCGTTTTGATCTATCCTTATAGATCTTGATGCTCAATGTTCAAGTAGCTTAATCCAGGTTTTCCATTGAAAACACTTTCCAAATAACCCTATATGCTTTCCAGAAATTCTACGTCATATCTGATCATTAATATGTCAACAACATATACTCATCAGAAATTCTATAGTGCTCCCACTCACTTCTTTGGAAATACAAGTTTCTCATAAACTTTGTATACACCCAAAATCTTTGATCATCATCAAAGCATACATTCCAACTCCGAGATGCTCACTCCAGTCCTCAGAAGGATTGCTGGAGCTTCGCATACTTATTAGCATATTTCAGGATAGACAAAACCTTCCGGTTGTATCACATATACAACCTTTCCTCAAGAATCGTCGAGGAAACAATGTTTTGACATCCTATCTGCAAGATTTCATAAACAATGCAGTAATTGCTAATATAATTCCAACAGACTCTTAGCATCGCTGCGAGTGAGAAAGTCTCATCGTAGTCAACTCCTTGAACTTGTCGAAAAACATCTCAACGACAAGTCGAGCTTTCTCAATGGTGACACTTACCATTATTGTCTGTCTTCCTTTCAAAATCCATATGTACCTAACAGCCTTACGACCATTAAGTAGTTCTTCCAAAGTCTACACTTTGTTTTCATATATGGATCCTCTCTCGGATTACATGGCCTCTAACCATTTGTCGGAATTTGGGCCCACCATCGCTTCTCCATAGCTTGTAGGTTCATTGTTGTCTAGCAACATGACTTCCAAGACAGGATTACGTACCACTCTGAAGTAGTACGTATCCTTGTCACCCTACGAGGTTCGGCAGTGACTTGATCCGAAACTTCATGATCACTATCATAAGCTTCCACTTCAATTGGTGTACGTGCCACAGGAACAACTTCCTGTGCCCTGCTACACACTTGTTGAAGTGACGGTTCAATAACCTCATCAAGTCTCCACCATCCTCCCACTCAACTTTTCGAGAGAAACCTTTCCTCGAAAAAGAACCCGATTCAAGAAACAATCCCTATTGCTTTCGGATCTGAATTAGGAGGTATACCCAACTGTTTTTGGGTGTCCTATGAAGATGTACTTTATCCGCTTTGGGTTCGAGCTTAATCCTGAAACTTTTTCACATAAGCATCGCAGCCCCAAACCTTTAAGAAATGACAACTTAGGTTTCTCTAAACCATAATTCATACGGTGTCATCTCATCGGAATTACGTGGTGCCCTATTTA